CTGTTCCAAGACCTGTGGAGGAGGTAGTTCACTGTAACCACAATCATTTATTTGAGAGTAGTTTAAGAGACAGCCAAGTTTCTACCATGACTGATCATTTGCTAAGTCCTGCCTTAAAACAATCTTGCCTCAGCAACTGTTGCTGTCCACCATATTATCAAGCTCTTAAAAGTGACTCAAATTGGGGGTAATACTTAGTAAAGAGTCTATAAAACACAACGTGGGCATTACTTTAGGACGAAAGAAGTGGAAGTGCTTGATTGAACTTGATTGAGCTCTGACAACATTATTCTCGATTATTGTATTTATTTGTATTTCTCTATTCATGATCATGAGGATTTCATTCACTTCCTTCTTATGGATAGGTATTCAGATGACGCGTTATGGCTGCCGTAAGAATGCAGAGATGAGGATGGTCCATCGCAGATTCTGTGAGAAAATCAAGCAGCCTCCGCCCCTGTTTAGAGACTGTTACTTGAGAGAGTGTGCTCAGCCCATGTGAGTGTGTGTGCCAAATGAGTTAGAAGGAAATTATTAATATTTTTAATTCACATTTACAGTTTTGGGGGCAAGACACACCAAGTGATTGTTTATTTTTACTTTTTTATTAAAACATTACTATCTTAAACATTACAATGACATTTAATAATGTCTTTTGTTAACTTATTTAAAAAAAATAATATATATGTAGTTTATAGATTTAATACACATTAATACATAAAAACTTGTGATGCAAAAAAGTCCCTAGCACTACATTTATGCGCCCTGGCTTTCCGCAACTATAGTCTGTCTCCAGTAGATGTCCATGTGACACTGTTGTACCTTGCATCACACATGACGCTTTGGCACCTGTTTAAACTTTGACTGGGGTTGTTTCTATGTGTTTAGCTGGGTGGCTGGAGAGTGGGGCGAATGCAGTAAGTCTTGTGGGAAGACGGGAACTCAGACACGTTCTGTACGCTGCGTCCAACCTCTGGGCGACGGCAAGTTCAAATCCATTCGCAGCCGTTACTGCAGTGATGAGCGCCCAGAGTCCCGCAGAGACTGCAATCGCAACCTGTGCCCT